CAACAACTTCTGCCATGAGCTGCCTCTCAGAATGAGCGGGACTCAGGAGCTTCAGGGTCATGTTTCCCTAGCAGCATGGGCTGGTTCTGCCTGGTGCCATGCCTCAAAGGGACATCTCACTTGGCAGGTGCAGGCTGGACTGCAGACAACAGAAAGAAAGGATTTCCAGTAAGAAATAATTTGCAGTAAATATTGCATGAGGACTGTCTTAAGCATTTTTTAGGTGTTTGGTTCAAGTTCTGAGGATAAAGCTAAGAAATTTTACTTCATCAACTCTATCCCTATCTTGCTGCCTGAGACTGTAGGGAGGTTTTAGTTTGGTGCTTTACAGATATTCCAGCATGGTGTCATAGAAGTGGTAAAACATGAGACAAGCTTTCTTTAAGCAAATAAAAGATAGGTTTCTGTTAAACCATCCCAACCCTTTTTTTATTGATCTACATTTTGAGTGCTGTCCTGGCTCTAACTTTTCCTTTCTTGATATGGTTGTTGGAAGGTTGTCATGGGGCAACCCTAGTTTGACGTTGTACTTCCCGGTCTTGCATTTCTTCCCCTCTCAGAAGCTGAGTGAGGCACACAAGCTCTAGATCTGTTGGAGGATGAGCAGCTCCTAGAGGTGACCAATAGAGGTCAAAACTCCAGGCAGATTCCTTGATCTATCAGCAGCTTTTGATCCATTTGATCAAGAAACATTATTGGCCTGTTTGTGAATGGCTGTTGTCTGAACATCTCTTTTGGCAATTTGAAAGGGGAGTGGGTGAGAGAAATCAGGGGTGATGCTGGCTTGTTTTTGACTCCTATCCTGTTGCTATCCAAAGTCTACTTTTTGGGGGAGAGCCCATGTGGACTATGTAACTATGCCTACACAGATAACTCATGGTCTGCCTCTGCACATCATCTCTCTGACATGGACTTTGTCACAGCCACACCTGCCCATGAGGCATCAGATTTGAATTGCAATTTCTCAGAAACCTCAGCTGGTTCAGTATCAGGCCATGACTCAGCAGCACTTGTTATGAGGAATGTGATCTCGCAGACGTTGCTGCTTCCAAATTGATTTCAGGTGCACGTCACACTGTCAGCTACACAAAATTTTCTCTGGTTTTTTTTTTTTTTTTTTTAATTTCTGAATGCTGAGCATTACTAGACCATGACCAATAGGATAAGTGGAAATCTCTTATTCACTGATGTGTACTTTGAATTACCATTCCCAAAACAGAGGCAGTAAAGGAGGATGATCTGTGCCTCACTCATCAGCTACTTTGGGGAAAAGTTAGTATCTCATCTTCAACTGTCACTGAAGATTGGTTCATTCTGGACGTTGTATGGAAGCAACTGAGGTGCAGGCATATGTTCCCTTCTGCTGACTTGGCTGTGGTGATGCTAACCACAGCCAGCAAAGAAGAACGAGCAACTGGTAACAGTAACATCTCAAACTGCCGCAGAGCGATTGGCCAGACCGCTCCTGTCAGCACTTGTATTTCCTTGCTGTTCATTGAAGAATTAAAAGTTAACTGAGGGTGGTGGCAAAAAATAGGTTTGCCTGCCTAGAAAATGCTAAAACCAATACTGAAAAGCAGAGGTGGATCTGAAGGTAGTTATCTCTCTTGGAATTTATATGGGGATTAAAACGCGTGTCATCAGTGTAGCACATAGGCAATTTTATAATCACTGCTGGTATTTCACCTCAGGGTACTCTGTGGGATGAAGAATTAATTTTCCATCTTTTTCTAAGGAATAAAGGCCTGTGATTTTCTGTCAGTCATAAAGGAGAGTTTGTAGCCAAACTAGATGCTTTCTGCCCCTCAGAAGTGATTAAACGGTCTGGGATTAGCGAGGGTGTACCATCACACCTCTGGAAATCAAACTGAGGAAACGTGTGCAGAGAAACACCTCAAGATGTTACATGGCCATTCACTTCCACATCAACAGGAAAAGACACTACAAGGCTGTGCAAAGCATAAGAAAAGCTGATGTGCAAAGCAGTGACTGCAAAATTAAAATATAGGATGGTTTACTATATGCAACATCTTTCCTTCACCCCATCTCTACTTGTTAAAGACAAGAATCTTTCTTAGTGAAAAAATACCTCATCTTCAGTACAAGGCAATTTATACTTTTTGTTGTTGGTTTTGTTTTTTGTTTTTTTTTTTGCAGGGGGTTAAAGTGGCACGTTTGCACAACACCAACCCTCACCCCAGCAAACCTGCCAGCAGTTGATAGATATAAATAGGGACATTTAGGGAGAAAAGCATATTTACGCTCCTTTGAAATGTGCTTGGCTAAAGGCATATTTTTAAGAGAGGGAGTGGAAAAACAAATGGAAAATATTTTCTTTGAAAGGGAAAAAAAAGCAACAAACTGTCCTTCCTAAATAGAGATGCTTGGCTGATGTGTACTTTACGCAGCTGTAGGTCAGACCTTGCAAACAACTACTAAATTAGGTCCAGCTACTTTGATGCTAAAAGCATGGAAGTGCCAGTAATTAAGTTGCATCAGATGTAGGAAATGACTGATGTGTCTGTTGTGCTCACGATAGCAGAGTTCACTCTGCTGCCATTTGACTGACCCCCTTTATGTAAGCAAAAGGAATTTTCTTTTAAGGAAAATCAGCTGGTTTTACACCTTTGTTTTGTTTTCTGAGCTGCTAATCCCCTGAAGGTATAGAAGCTATTTGAAAGAGCAAGTCAAAGCTCCAGTAATTTAGTGTTATATTATTTGCTGATGTATGGTTTGATTTAGTGGCTACTTATTATATCAGGTTACCATATAATTATCTTAATTATTGACTCCAGAAGTAAGTAGAGGGATTATGAGAGAGACAGAAAGGCCCAGTGGAAAGAGCATGGTTCAGAGAATCGAACACATCTTGGTGTGCTCTTGGCTCCACCACTCATTTTCTCTGAGCCTGAACTCTTCCCTCAGCCAGCCTGGCCATGAAATCAGGATGGATTGCAGAGACAGGACTCAGATGCTTAGCCAGGATTCAAAGAGATGCAGGAGAGCAGTATAAAAAGAACAGAGGAAGGTTCTGAAAGACAGTTGTAAAATTAGCAGAAAAAAATGAATACTCACCACAGCATGCATTTGCGTCAAGGAGATGTGGGCATGGAGAAGGGTAGTTTTGCCATGAAGGCTTGAAATTTGAACCTGCATTTCCAGCCTCTGCTACTGATTCTCCCACCAACTCCCCCCTCCAAAGTTACGCAGCCCTCAGCCCCCTTTCTGCAAAACAAGGATGATAAAAATCATCCTCCTGTCTTTGGTTTTAGCCATCGACATTATTGGAGCACAGTTCCTCACACAGCCTTCAGCCATGGTTCTCATGACATTGTGGCCATTTTTGGCTTTTAGTCTCCTAGTCCTTTGTCTGATAACCATTGACCTAAGCCAAAGGTTTGAGTTAGCAGGCACCACTGCAATATTAAAAAGGCTGTCAGGGCAGTCCGTACTTCCTGTATTGATAATATTTGACATATACTGACAAAATACTTCATCTGTTGACAAACTGAGTTGTATATTTTTCTCTAAGAGAGGAGCAAACGTGCTGATTCTGTTCAGCCTGTGCAAATTACTTTCTCTGATTTTGCTTTTCTTTCCTGAGCCAAAAAATGGGGATAATAGAATGTATCTATTTCCTTCCTAGAAAAGATCAGCTAATGTGAAATGGTGCATGGTGGCTTAGTGCTGAATAAGTGGGATACCCTAATCCAGCAAGGTATCCTTGTTCTATTGTATGCCTTTTCTGCATATCATCTGGAGTTGTTCTCTGCTTAGTATTTTCAGTATGTACCATATGTTTTTGCATGAAAATTCAATAAAATATGCATTATACATGAAAAGTGCTGTAGTAAATAAAGGAAGGATGGAATCCAGTCCCCTTTGTGAACGGCAGGGGCCCCAAATCTTCATAAAAGGTTTAGTCTAGTCTGACGTCTGTGCTTTTCTCCAATTTACTCTGTGTCAGTCTTTAGGAGATGCTCTAATTTAAAACAAAACTCCACTTTCCTGATGAGGTTATTTGATGTTCTTTGGCTGCCCTCTGCCGAGAGCACTGAATAAGACAGGGAAAATATCCTCTTTCCAAGGAAGGTTCCATTGGAAGAAATTCCCTGTTTATCCATGTGCTGAGTTCTGTCACTGCTGCTGGTGGGCACCCATGGTTTGGTGTCTCTCATTGTCCCTTTGCTTCCAGTCAGAGGAAAAAGTCTTCTGAGCTACAGCCCTATTCAGGTTTTAGTGCCTACCACTCATTGTCAAGGGCTGGGTGGCTTTGTACACTTATGAAAATGTGGGTTCAGGCATTGACCACTATGCAGAATTAAGCATTAAACAAGGGGTGACCGCAGGAGGAAACAGGCTTCTCTACCCAGGCACTATTGCAGTCCTGCCAGGTGGGATTTGAGCTGTACCTCAGCACCCCCCTTCTTGGCAGAGCAATTTGCCACTGCCTGCTGTTCCTCATCGGGGTGCCCATTTCTTCCAGTGCCACTTCCACCCCTCCACAGGCATCACAGCACTAGCTCTTAGCTTTATTTCTATAACTGGGAAGGGGCAAAGGGTTTGTTCCAACATCAACAAGAGTAACTGCAGGACTTGCTGTTTCTTGTGAACAAAGTGTGAGCCGCGCTCTTGTCTTTGGGAAGAAACAAGGGTCCTGTGCAGATTTTGGTGCATGTATAAAGCGATAGCTCTGTTGTAGCTATTAATGCTCTGTGTAATGCCCTGTTTTTAATACTTCCTAGCAAGTTGATTTATTATTATATCTTCATCTGGGCTGTGCACCAAAGCATTTTGATGATGAAAGGAATGTTATACACACATTTAATTACTGCCCACATTTTTGTATAATTTTATCATTTACTGTTTTAGATGAGACATCGAGTCCTTCTACAGGAAAGATGCCCAGTAAAAAACAGATGATTTAAAAGCTAATCTGAGATGAGTTTAGCTCTTAAATATGAGAAAATATAATTGTTCCTTTCTTTCTGCCCTTTCAGATGGTCCCTGATTACCAAAATGTACAAGAACTCCCTTATCTGGACATGGTGATTGCAGAGACATTGCGCATTTACCCACCTGCATTCAGGTATCTGGAGTTTTTACCTTCTGATTCCACAGGATAGCTCCTTAGCTCTATAAAATGGAAATCTGTTGTTGGAAGACCTATGGTCTCTTAGTCTCTGTGCCAACATCAATACTGCTTTGTGCATTTGAAAGATATAATGTGGCCTATTGAAGGAAAGCTGGCTAATTCTGGTATTTCTGAAGTGCTTTTTTACAGTGGCTTGGCCAAGGTTGCTTCCTCACCATTCTCCACATCCCCCCAAGGTTAGAGGATGGAGCCATTTTGAAGCAGGCCTGGCCTTAGAAAGCCAGATGCTGCTTCTTCTGTGTGCATCAAGCTTCAGAGATACAGACCAAAGACCTGCCCTAGCTCATTGGTCATTAAGGCCCTGATCTGTGGAGGGTTGCACATCCAGAAAGCTGTATTTTACATGTGTATTTAACTTCAGCACATTTTCACTTAGTACTGCATTATACTAACATAGCTAAACTAATGGCAATATCCATTAACTTTTGAAAGTTTTGTCCTGATTCACACAAGACTAATTCTACTATGTTGATGAACTGAAAACAAGGGAAAAAGAAGTTAGAAGATTGTTTGATGAAGTTCTGACTTATCACAAACATAAATACAAATGTTAAGGAATGGAACTTTTCAAAGTGATCAGCCCGTTGCACTGCTTCTTGTGAAGCTGGAGGAAAAATTCAAATGACTGGAAAGGAGCCAAAGCTGAACTTGCTGTGAGAGCCTTTGAAAAATTTAACCTGTGATTGCAAGCACCTTAAAATAGAAAAACTTTAAATCATATTCTCTTCTATATGTTCACAAAGATTGGAAGTTCAGAGAGTAAACGTCAAAGATATTTGCTCCTGGATGAGGTGATGGGGCTTTACTGTGTTATACATGGAACATAAGTGGAAACACATAAGTGGTTAAAGCAACAAGGGTCTTTGAGTTTTGTCTGTATCACTGGGAAACAATTAATGTTTGTCAGATGGGAAACAGAATGAGAATGGAGCAAAGTTATTCTGAAATTTTGGTTGGCATTTTCAGTGCTGTTTATTGACTTGGCTTTTACTCTGATGGATGTGGAATGGATAGGACAGCCCAGTGCCTCTGAAAGATGTTAATTGCCTATGACAATGGTAATGCTGAGTTAGGGGAAAAATCCGTAGCAGCCAAGTTTGTTATAAAATGAGTTGATTTTCTTTTTTTTAATGAACTTACTATCCAGAGAACTTTCTTCTGCAGAACTCATGTTTCCACCAAATTCATGTAAGAATGAAAAGAATAGCTTGTCAATGCAATTTTTTTAGCATGCCAGTGTTTTGTTGCAGGTTTGGAGCCTTTGTTATTTATTTGTCTGAGAAAGAGAGATGGGTGACAGCAAGGAAAGAATGTGTTTCTGTAATGATACCAGACTGACAGCCCTGAAACTGAAATCTTTATTCAACTTTTTAAGCAGAGTGTGGGAAGCAGGAAAGGGAGCTCCTGCACATTGTCTTGCCCCTGTGCTCGCAGCTGGTGCCAGGGAATAGCTCCCAGACTGAGACAGCAGGGCACCCACCTGGCTCTGGGTTGATTTGGGATCTGTAGTGACCACTGAAGCACCAGATGTTCTAGATCAGAACCTACCACCACACATGCACACCCACACACAATTTTTTGTAAGGTTTACAGACCCAAGCTTGGCTTTGGCAGGTGGCTTTTTTCAGTCTTCTTGTCACAATGAGGTTTCTCTGGACAGTCCTACTCTGTCACCTGTCACCAGGGGGTGGGAGGAGAGTGCAGAGTTTTTTTGCTAACATCATGGCTGTCTTTGATGCATGTATGTGAAATGAGGTTTTCCAAAGCTTATGAATTAGTTGTATTTTTGTAGTGGCAGCTGCAGCAGAACACCTAGCCCTAATATTACATCTCTTGCTAAGTTTCAGGTACCAACGTGGGGGAGCTTCTCAAATAAACAAACTCCAAACTATATTTGGTGTCCTTTTTTTTTTTCCTGAAAACAAACCATCATATTCTTTGTACTTATTTAATTAGAGATGATAGATACATCTCATCAGCAATTTTCATAAAAAATTAGTCTAAATCCAACATTCACAGTAAAGTTGCAGTTTAACAGTTATTGCCTTGGAAAATGGTACATAGTCACAAATTCTTCCCTTTGAAAAGGGCAAAGATTAGCTGTCTGGGCTGGAGCTATGGGCTTCTAGATGCACTAGCATCAGCAACAGTTGTTGTATTTATCTACTGAGAAAGTGTTACTCTGGAAATTGTAGGGTCAGCTGAAGAGATTTACTTTTATAGATCTCTCCTGCTGTGTTTTTAACCTTTATTAATCATATAGGATACATGACATTGCAGATTCACTCGGGAAGCAGCTAAAGACTGTGTGGTGCTGGGGCAGCATATTCCAGCTGGAGCTGTCATTGAAACTGCAGTTGGACACCTCCACCATAACCCTGAGTTCTGGCCAGAGCCTGAGAAGTTCATTCCTGAGAGGTATGTGGAATAATGCTTTTCATTCTTAGATTGAAGTTCTTATTTGGGCCTCTTTAGATCAATGTTAAATGCTGGTTTATGCATTAGGGTGTGTACAGAACTCCAGCCTGTCCAGTGGAGACACCAGATCCTGCTGCTCTTTCACAGTCACAGTCACCCACAATTCATCCAAAGCAGTATTTCCACCAAGAGTGGAATTTAGTTTAATTTAGACCATAAAATTATGTTATTTCTACCAAATTAGACAAATGATGATAGTGGCGCATCCCACAGAGGGTGTGCGATTTCGTCAAGGTTGAAATTTGAGATGGGTTTTCAGACCCATTTCCAAATCAGATACTGTGAATAATGTCTCTTCTGGATGCAGAAATTCCGAAGTGAGATAGTATATTCACTGACATGGATGTACCTGGGAAACTCATCCAGCTCCTGGCTGGTTTAGAGCACCCTTTTCACCTGAAATCTTGTAATGGTGTGGGTCCTCTGTGAGTGGGGAACCTACCCCATCTGCCACAGGGAATTTGCTCTCCATCTGTAAGTTAGGATCCTTGGTTCTTTCTTGGCAAGACATACATACTTTCACATGGAGCATTTTTTCTCTTCAGCTGGTGGGGGGACAGTGGCAAGTTGTGGTTTTGTACCATGCCCTATCTTACAGATGCTGAGTTGAGCTTACAGGGAGAGTTTCAGCTGATGTGGTGCTGTGTAGAAGCACAGTTCAGTTTCGTGGACAGATATGTTTTTAAGCAGATATGTTTTTATGTTTTGTGGGCAGATGCATTTTAAGGTACCACTACACTGAAAAGTTTACTAAGTAAAAAAAGTGACTGCTCCACAAACAACTGGGTGTGAGGCAGGCAGCCCAGAACCACCTTTGCCAGTAAGACAACACATGTGTGGTGTGTAGGTGGGTTTGCCTAATGCTCCTTCTGGAACAAATCTAGGCATATGCTCCGTCGGGCTCTTTTGGCCATGAAGAAGAACATTTTCAGGGTTAGAGAAGCCCAGAAATTTTGCTGGAGAGGAATCTTAGCAGTAACTGGAAGTCTAGGGTGGGTTTTTTTAGTAATGCTTATCTACAAATGTTTTCTTAATTGTTTATTCACCACTTCAGTGATAGCATGAAAGCACATTATGGAGTAAAATGGACAGTGGGGACTGCAGTCCCCTTGACTCACACAGTGCTATTTGTAATGAATCTGAGATTAATTCCCTTTTGAAACTTCCTGAGGAATGATGTATAATTACTAACATTCTCCTTGGATTGTATCATTTGGTAATGTTAGTAAGAATTACAAAATAAGAGCTTAACAAAAAATAAAATAATTTGTCTACAGCCTTTTTACCCCTAATATTTATTTTTGAAATCGGCCTTTGCAATAATACAGGGGAGACTTTAAATTTACCAGAATGATATATGGGGGTGAGCAAGGCAAGAATTGCACTAACCTATTTGGATGGGATATGCAACAGTATATCAGTTAATGGTCCTTCAGTCCCAAATTACAGGCTTCTATAGTACTTTTTGGAGTAGTAACTCGATCTTATTTAGGATATCTAAGCATGGAGATGGGATTAGTGGAAATACATAATATTATTTTTTTCCAAAGCTCAAAATAGCCTGTATTACATCTCATCTCTTTCTACCCTGCATGAGTTCTCTGGGCCTTAGCGGTCTGAAGTTCTTGCAAACTATATCCAAAGAGATGAGAGATTCTCAGGAATGACCCCATACATGAAGGCAGAACCTGTATCCATGCACAGAACTGGAAAAGTAGTTTGGCAGTACAAGAAAAGTTCCAAATACCTTAGGACATGGGAGGATTATGTAGATTTCCAGGGTAATGCCATCACTGTAAAGGTTTGCTTCTTTCGAGGCACCACTCTGAGTAGTGACTCAATACAGCCCAGGATTAGCCTGACCATGTTGATTATGCATTGGCCCTAATAATTTGTACTGACTCAGACACTGTATTCTTGTCTGTATATATTTTATCCAATAGGCATTCATCTTTGTGGATGTTGGCAAACAGATTTTACTTTTTTTTTTTCCCTTTGAACTGCTGTTCAAATAGGAATTTTGTTTCCCTCATGGAAAAAAAAAAAGGCTCATTTCTAATGGGCTGATCAAGTATTTTAAAGCTAGCTAATTGATGCAGATCTGCATACAGATTGACTCATTAATCAGTCTTTCCAGCTGGACTGAGGTACTGAGATGGCTCAAAGAACAGAACCATGTGCAATTTTAATGTTTCCCAATTGTGAACCTGGTCTCTTTAGGCCAAGAGCAGAGAGAAGGGCTGTACTGAATTTGTAATAACCATCTTCCATGGCCTGTCCAATGCCATGAGATTTCATCTCCCCTTACAAGCTTCAAAGAGCAATTCCTGTTGACCTTCATCTGCAGGGCACAGCAAGGAATGCTGTTGCTAATTCTATTCAGTTCAAGTTGCAGCCTATTAGTTTCCTCTTAGCTGTAATTTCTCCCTCACATGTGCAAAGGTGTGAGGGACATGTCCCTAATCACCCTAGCACCTGAAGTTATCATTCTTCTGGGCATGGTCCTCAAATGAAGGAGAGTCGTAAAACATAGATTGGAATTAATACTCATGTCTGCATGTCCTCTCCTGAAATCACCAGCTGACAAAGGCTGATGGTTGTAAGTCAATTATCTGTTTACTTAAGATGTCAGGACATAATCTGTCAATAGTTCCCCTAACCTGTCTATTAAGACCAATTGAAATAACCATCTTTTGAGATTTAAATGAAAATCATGGAATCAGGAGCAAAAAGCATTCCTTGAACTGGTTTCCATCTCTGCACTCTTTAGGTTTACAGAGGAGGCCAAGAAGAAACGACATCCCTTTGCATATCTGCCCTTTGGGGCAGGACCTCGTGGCTGCATTGGCATGAAAATGGGTTTGTTAGAGACAAAAATGACTCTGCTGAGGATTTTGCAGAAGTTTCAATTCAAGACCTGCCCAGAGACTGAGGTTTGTACATGCAGGGAGGCTAAACTTGAGAGAGTTGACAGTATATCTTAGACAGAGGGCAACTGATTTGCCTTTGTGACTTCATTTGAGAAAACTGCTAGAGACACTTTCATAATAAGGAGGGACAAGAGGCCTGGACTGCATGTTTTAATCAAAATATGATTCAAGATATATGATTTTTCCAACAAAAGAAATGGTTACATAACCCTACCTTAGTGGAGAGCGGTATAACAACACCACAGTCAAAATATCTTGATTTATAGAGGGTGAGAATGGGTGTACATACTTCATAGGATCTCAGCACTTTAGTATATGCCTATTGCTATTTACATTGCACCTGGCACTTACTCAGCAGCTCTGGAGTTTACAGAGTTAATTTCTTCCTGTTCAGATCTACAGTATACCTGGGCAACCAATGCCTCAGCCTCTGGCTGTAAATTCTATTTAATATTATGCTAGCGCAGCTGACTGTAGAACAAGTACTTTACAGCTTCTGCAGCAGTCCTGGTATGAACTGGTCTCCCAGCAAAAGTGTCTGTCTGTGTATGGGGGTGTTATACACACAGAAACAAATACATACAAATGTACATAAGATGCTCTTTTTTCTTTCAGATTCCTTTGCAGCTCAAATCAAAAGCCACACTTGGACCAAAAAATGGAGTCTACATTATGCTAGAATCTCGCTAAAAGAAAATGTACATCCTGAAGCCTACTGGGATGAGACCCTTTGTTAGTGACTCACTAACAAAATATAATTATTTTTCAAAACCCCAAAGACAGCTGGGAGCCCAAGTCCCACTGATGGTCAGTAGGTGCTTGCTCAGTGCCCTCCTGTGGGAGAGCCTCCAGTCACCTTTTAAAATGGGCTCCACAGTCTTTTTTGGCAGTTTTCAAATTACTGTGAATAGCATCTGAAAAGTAGCATCCCACTTTCACTTGCTTTTCACTTCCTTTCACTCATCTTTGAGAATGCTTTCCTCCTGCTCAATTTCAACAAATGGAGCAGGTGTTAAGCGTACAAGCAATTTAAAATAGATTTTAATTACAATTCATTATATGGCACATCCTTCTCATGCACTTCAAAGTTTCTACTCTAGAGAAAGCCCAAAAGGCACCACAATTACAACAGAAAACCTGGGATGCAGTGCATTGGATTTTGTCATCAACTCTGCTAACAATCAAAGCTGAGGCTCCTGCACAATGCTTAATCTCTTCCTGTGTCTGTAAAATGGAAAGAGTTGCACCTCCCTCATGCTTTGAAGTGATTTTATATACACTTAAATTAACAATTTGCACTTGGCATGTTGCATTGATAGAGGAATGAGGAGTTTCCCTGCTTACCAGTTAAGTTCCAGTAGCTAAGACCAAGGAAATGAGGTGACTGCCATTTCGCTGGCTACTGAACTGCTGTTGGAAAACTGGAGAAAAAGAAGATACAAATTTAAAGCAAGCAGGAAGACTGAAGGAAATTGAAGGTTAATCAGAAGGTGTTGTTACAACATCTGCTTCATGATGAGGCTTTTCCTTTCCAAGCGCTGGAGTTGGCACTATTCTTGTCTAGCTCCTTGACTCAAGGAAATTAAGAGCATGTATGCACTAGAGCCAATGTTAAAGGAGTGGGATCCAGGATCATCAGTCCCAGCAGCTCTCTTGTCTCCTTATGTGACCCTGGAGCAGCTCATGTCCCAAGTGCCTCACTCGCCTCAGGAAGGAACTTGTCTGATTTCCAGCTGCAGCAGCACCATGGATCCATTCAAGCTGTATGACTGTGCACATACACCTTCACAGCCAAAACAGCTGTACACTTCCAGTCGTCAGATTTTCTCCATGCTCTTTCCTACTTCTCTACAAAGCCCTTCAACCACCACACAGCTAGTGGAGCAACACACAGCAGGGATCAATTGACAAGGAAAAACCCCACACCTTTCCTTCAGTGGGTGCCGCAGACTGGTTGTCTGTACAATTGTGCTGGTTTTGTCTCAGATAATTTTCTTCATAGCAGCATGGGGCTCTGTTTTGGATTTGTCTTTCATTATTAGCAGTGCTTGAACAGAGTCAAGGCCTTTTCTTCTTCTCACACCACTCCATCAGCAAGGAGGCTTGGGGGTGGACAAGCTGGGACAGCTGACCCCCACTGACCACAGGGACATTCCATACTGTATGCTCAGCATATAAATCTGGAGGAAGAAGAGGGAAGGGGAGGACATTTGGAGGGATGGTCTTTGTCTTCCCAAATCACTGTCATACATGCCAGAGCCCTGCTGTCCTGGGGATGGTGGAACACCTGCCTGCCCATGGGAAGTAGTAAATGAATTCCTTGTTTTGTATGTGGCTTTTGCTTTACCTATTAAACTGTCTTTATCTCAACCCATGAGTTTTCTCACTATTACTCTTCTGATTCTCTCCCTCAGCCCACTGGGGGGAAGTCAACCAGTGGCTCTGTGGGGCTTAGTTGCTGGTGGAGGTTAAACCATAACAAAACCATGAGAAGAAGTTGGTGCAGTCTCCTTTTTTTTTTTTTTTTTTAATTCCGTCCTTTATTTTTTCTTTAAAATTTTTGTATATCACAAAAACTCCTATGGCACTATAAAAATAAGGAGGCAGCTTTGGTTCTTTGCAAGTCTCGACCTTCTGCCTGCTTGACGTACTCTGCTTGAGGTTTCCTTAGGTACAGCATCTCTCTTTGTGGTATGCACAGAGAAGTGTCTCAGCAGCAGGAGGAAGAGACTGACTGCTCATCTTCATTGCAAGGATTTCTGGAAGGAGCCATCTGCGCACTGATCCCTGGCTAGGTCCCTATCTTTTGCTGCCTTCTTCCCACATGCTGCCTGAACACTGATCAAATTACTGTATCTTGTTTCTCAAAGATTGTGCCTTTCTCTTTCGTGTTTTTTGTGTTTTGGTTTGTTTTTTTTTTTAAACTGGAACTGTATAGGTACTAGTGATGAAGTGCTGACCTGGCAGTCTTGGAATAGTTCCTGTTTCTATGGAGCATCTCTGGCATGCTAAACAGTAGTGCCCTGTTACAGACACACTGCTTATATGAATTGCTGATGGAGTGATTTTTATTTATTTAAAAAGCAACACACTGTATATACCTTAGTTTCTATACATTATCCATAATTTTCCCTCCTTGAAAATAGTGTGCTGGAGGTTGATTTACTGTATACCTTATACGTACAGTTGGCAAAAAGCTGGATGGACCTTGCCTAAAAACATCTCACCTACTTGAATGAGCAGAAAGCTTATTCCATCTGAAGTCAGCTGCCAAAGGCTTGTTTTGTTTTCCTTACATGAATTAGAGGGTTGTTGTGTGCTTCATTTTTGACAAAATACTCCATCCTTAACCAAGCTTGTCCCCTTCTAAGATATGATTTTACATAGACTCTCCTTCCCAGTCCCTGCCTCTGCAACTGGAGCACTTACCAGTGAAGATCGGGGCAAAAAAAGTCATTGAGTACCTCAGCCTTCTCCATGTCCTGGGTAAACATATCTCCTGTTTCCTTCCAGAGGGCCTACATTTTCCCTGGTCTTCCTTTCATCACAGAGATACCTATGGAAGCTTTTTTTTTTGTAGCCCTTAATGTCTCTGGCCAGATTTATTTCTATCAGGGCTTGCTTTAGCTTTCTTAACTTGATCCCTGGCAACTTAAGACAGTTTCTCTGTATTCATCCCAGGCTACTTGTTCTTGCTTCCTTTTTGTGTTTCAGTTTGTTGAGGAACTCCTTATTCATCCATGCAGGTCTCCTGATATTGTTGCCTGACTTCTTTGTTGTGATGCATCACTCCTGATCTTGGAGGAGGTGATCCTTGAATATTAACGAGCTTTCCTGGGCCCCTCGTCCCTCCCTTTAGTCCTTACCTGTAAGCTCTGAGTCAGCTCCTCATCCATCCATCCCCAAGTGGAGCTCCATGCCCTCCACCTGGTCATTGACAGAGGGCAACACTCCCTTCTCATCAGGCTTGGAAAATGAACCAAGAATATTTCCCAGCTGCGTTCAAGTTGAAAATGGACAGTATGTGTGCAAGTAAACTCCCTTGAGTCTGTGATAACATTTTTTCAACTGTTCTGCAAAGTTTTCTGGTTAGGAAGTGTTATCTGTTTTCACCTGTCAGTTTGTAGTAGTAGGGAATAGAGGAATTATTTTTGCATCTGAAGTCAGATTTCTGGAAGTGCATCAACCCTTGTTCTGCATGCAGACTGAGAGAGACAGAAAAGACAGAGCTGCCAACTTTCCAGTAATATAGGAAGAGCCCCAAGCCATTTGTTCCTTTTAAATAACAGTTGGTGGTACAGTCACCAGACACTGCACAGACACGTACCAAGATGTTTAATGACACTGGACCTCACCGTAGCTGTGTGAGCTCAGTGACATACCTAAAGAGCAGGCTGTCTTGAGGGATCAGCGAGCCCTCTGGAAGCACACATTTGCAGAAAAACAAGACACTAAACTGCCAGCAGTTCTCCAAAACAGAAACTGGTAATATCACGATAATCAGTGTGTTTGTGCACTCATATAACATGGTCCCAAATTGATCCTGAGCAGAGTTGGCTTTAGAATTAATTAACAAAAACCCAAAAAACACAACCAAAAACAACCAAAAAAAGAACCCAAAACCTGCCAAAAACCCCCCAAAATTCAGTCAACAGCAGTTAGATTTAGGGAGGAACAAAGAAACCAATTTAAACTAATTCCTTTCCTCAGAAACACTAAGTGTGTTGTCTTGCATTGCTGAGCTGTGGGTTTGTTTAAAATTGGGCACGTCTGTGTTACAAAAGGGTTTTAGTCATTCTCTGACAGCTGATACAAAGCAAAAGCTGCTTGGTAAAGGAAAGCTTCTATTAAAAACATCTTCTAATCTTTGTAATGATTACAGAAAGCTGTCAGTATAAAATGGTATTTTTAATAAGGCTGCTGATAGGAAAAAAGCTTTACAGTTTTGTACTTTATAAATAGTATTCCTAGAAAAGCAGAGTTGCATGTTAGAAATCATTATGTTTCACTGATTGCAAATTTGAACTATCTGTTCTTATCTGGCATTAAACTGCAGAATTTTCTCTGTGTGTGTGATACTTTCAGGAAATGAGCACCTTCTCATTTCCCTTTGTTAAACATCTTGGACACAGCCTTACCTGATACCAGATTCCTCCAAGTGTTTACAGCAGAAAACCTGGTAAAAGAATTTACAGCTGACTTATAAACTGTGTCATTGCTTGGTTCATACTGGCCCTGCTCACCTTCTTCTGACCCTGATAAGTCTCATTCGTCTCCAAGGTGTTTTCTCCCTGCACTACTGGATGCTGGGGCTCCTTTCAAGGAGGGAGAAGGATTCTTTCAGTTGATAGGATTTTTGCAAGTAGAGATGAATTCGTGACTGGGCCTGAAGAAAGAGGTGCAAGGGAGCTGTGGAGGCCCAGGTAGTCTATCCCTTGGTAAAACAGGTAAGCATCAGTAATCCTGGCCATGTAACAGCCATCCCATCTGGATTTTGTGCTGGATTTATTCCAAGTTAAGCAGCATTTCTGCAACTCCCACTTGCCCTCTGGCCCAAAGGTAGCTCTGAGCAATGGTTCCCAGAAGCAAAGTGCAAACTTTCTCCAAGCCAAGCAGCGCTGAGCACATCACCATAGCTGGTATGTGCCATCCACCCAAGATCTTCTCCACCACCCCCTACTCTATCAGGCTGCAGGTATCTGAACCAGATAGCATACTGCCACTTAGACAGGATTTTGACACACACATCTTATAAAATCTGGGCAGAATAGCATCACAAACCTGGTTACAGGTAAAACTCATTGAATAGTGCAGTGTGTTGACTTTGGTGGGCTGCCAGACCCTTTCTCAACCCAGCAGGTGGGGAATTAGGGGTTCATAAAGTACCATCCTCCATACCACACTGCTGGCATAGCAAAGCTGTTTGGCTTCTGCTGGCTTTGCCGTCTGTCTTGCCTGGATGGACCTGTTACCAAAAAAGGAAACAACCTTCACAGCTTATCTTTCTCCTCTCACAGCGTAGGAATGAGTGACAGATTATTACACTGTTCCTGCTCAGTTTCTTGTCTTAAGCAGCCAAAAGATATCCTCCTCACTCAGAAAAGAAGTTCAATATTACTTTTTGTCTAAAGTTTAGATTTAATGCAAACATCTCTTTAATCTGTTCATTTCCAAATGCAATCCAAACAGCTGTAAAAGGACTACTACTACCTCTAAGAGTTTACAAATACTCACAAGTGTATTGAAACGGTATTGACAGAGAGAAAACCATTACAGGGAATTTAGTGGTTTGAATATCTGTTTATTTACTACACACAAGAAAAGTTACCACTGTAGTTTCAGAAGTGGAAAACACAGCAACTTTTCTTTTTCTGTGTTAATGGAGAAATAACAGGTGACAAAGTAGGACAACCAGGCATTTTATTTCTTGTTTTACTTACACACATACACACACACAAGCATACGTACATCCTCTCCAAGAATTAAGTTAAAGGTTATAAAAATATAATAAAAAAGTCAATTAAAAAAAATCAAAACTTTTTGCATTAGAAAGATTGTTTCAATTTTCTGGCAGAAGATTAACATGACTGAAGCTATTCTAGTTCTTAGCTGAAATGCTGCTTATGTTGAGAGGAAGAAAGGCATCCTACTAGTATTTTCATTTGCCATGAACATGGGGTTTCTTTTGGACAAAAACCCTTATTCTGCACAGGTATTAAAGCTGTCATACATACATGTTATCCTCCTCAATGAATGTACTATTTGCTGACAAGTTCATTTGCTGACATGAGATTTATCGTCTGTGTTCTATTACAAGTCTTTCAGAAGGAAAAATACAGTCAACTTGCTTTTCCATATCCAGTGTTTTACTGGGATTAAACACAAATGGGAGTTAAATTTTCCTTTCGGTAGCATGCTGCTAGTTTTATAGGTCACATAAAAAGGAGCCTTACTCCAGATAATCGTGGTTAAATTTCTGGTTCACAGTGCTGAAGTAATAAAGAGTTACCCAGTGTACACCTGTCAGTCACCATGCAGATGAATTAAAAAGAAGTGGTCCTAGAGATGAGCTTTTTTAGGTCATATAGAAAGTATATCTTAAGGCTTCTGCAGTACACTATAGCTAACCAGTACTCACCTACGCACATTAAATCTGTGATAAAGTATCTATCTATGCATCAGCAATTACATCTTATAAAAATACAGTTCAAGTCTTTTGATTGCACACATATATGCTGATTGCTCAACACTATTAACATCTTATGCTGAGAACAATTAATATTCAACTTAATTTTCAGATTTTTAAAAGTTTCTGCTCTGTGGTTGAAGACTACTTTCCAGGTAAGCACATTTCTCCTGCAAAAAAAGTCCAGACAGCTTGATGACACAGGTAACCTGTGTATCTTCTGCAACCAAAGAGGCAGTGCACCTAATGAGACAGTCAATCACCATCCTTCCCAACAGCTGTAAGAGAACCATGAAGTTGCTCCCAGAAACAAGGTACTGATAATCAAGCAGTAAAAGGAGTGTATTTTACTCCTAAGTAGGGTATTAAATAACAGCATGAGGTGCCTCCTCTGCTTCCTCCATGGCACCTGCTAGCATTCTTTCATTTGTAGGCACAGTGAAAGTCATGAAAAACTGGTGTCTTCACAGATAGAAAATACAGCACGTATTTGATAGAGTAAATCAACCAAATCACACAGCACCAAGCAACCCTTGTTATGCTTATACCTTTGGTACTTGTTTTAAATGAGAAAATTAACAAGTAAAAATAAGTCTCTGTTCCTTTTCAACAAGCAAGTTTAATTTTTGAGGTTTTGTTGGCGAAGATTAAGCAGGAACAAAAAGGAGTGCTAGTAAGAATATATGCAATGAGTTGAGCACAGAGATTGTACAACACATTTGCAAGCACCGGAATGTCTACTGTTACAGGAGACAGATTACTAAAAAAACCAGCTTTTAGCCAGTTTTGAGTTAAAAGATAAAGAGGTAGAGGGACACAGCCAGTGACCAATGAGCATGTGTAAAGATCTATCCTGAAACATTTCTGTTTGAACTTGTTAAAAAAAAATATTTGAACTTGTCATTAATTATTTGCTGTTATAGCCAATCCTCATGCTACAAGAATCAGCGATTTCTTCTAATAAATTTATAAAAGTCTCTAGTATTGTAGGGAAATGTAAAAGCTGCTAAAGAATAGGAGACAGACACAGGATTTTAGGAATTATAAAACATCCTGTGTCTTTTTATCCCTTGTTTTCTATTGCACAGAAAGGATAGAGAATAAATGTTTCTGAATATTCACCTATCCATCACACAACTTCTATAAAAATCACTCTTTCTCTCTTGTGGGAATACTAAAAAAATGTTTATACCAGTTAAACACAATGAGGATAGGGTTTGCTGCTATATGAGTTCTACTGGTGCCCTGTATTCTATGAGATACTCTGGATAAATCTGCTGCTTCTCGAAGATGACAAAGATAGAAGGGTTTAAAGCATCATTCACACAACTGTCATAGAAGTTTTGGCTGTCCTTCATGGGAGGCCGAACATAATCAGAACTACCACGAGTGAACTCCCCCACCAGCACTCGTGCCAGAAACATGGTCTTGCTTGAGTCTGTCCCACAATACTTGTCAGAGTAAGATGCATCCCTTGCAAAATAACTTCCTGCAGAAGAGACACCAAGACAGAGCTGATAAGTCACCAAAATTGCAGGGAAGAAAGCGATAGTGTGAAAGTGAATTAATAAAATCCATTAAGCAGCTCATGAACAGCCTTTCCAAAGCCTTCCCTTGTTCTCTATGTCCCTCTTAGTGAAAATTATCACTGTGCATTATCTACACTTTTTATTTTTCACAGCACACATATTTAAAAGCCATCCAAGTAATGTTTTAAATGTCATCATATTCCTGTAAAAGATTTCCTCCTGACCCTAGATGTCCACCTTCCCCAATCCCACCCAACTGCATCTCCTGACAGAGGCTATTAACAGTCATCAAAACATTTCTCAGAGTTACAAAGTATTCAGTCAGAAAGGTGGGCTAGTCAGCCAGTCAGCCTGTCTCTGCTATTGCACTTGGTATGCTGGTAATTTCCTGTACACAGGACAATGTAAAGGAATATAATTTGCTAACAAGGCATTCCCTAACCAGAATGGCATTTAGGTTCCTGGGGGAAAAAAAAAAAAAGCCATGTTGCCTTCCTATAGGAGTTTGGAAAAACTGGAACAGAAGTAATTCTGGAGTCTAGCAGAAACTATCCCTAGAACAGGCCTCTCCTGTCTTTTCTTGCAAGGACTGAGTGGAGCATAGAAGCCAAGGCCTTTCAGTATGCCTTAGCTCGAAATAACCATTGCCAAAGTAGCTATGTTGCCCACATCACGACAGAGAGAAGCCCTAGATTGACTGAGTGCCCCCCTTTTAACTGTATACCTCTGCAGTAAATACTGACAATTTTTTAGCAAGTCTAAGATTAATGAAAGAGCTGAAAAACAACCTTTGCCGTAGACTGTCCCATTAAGGCCACAGATTCTCCAGTCGAAGTTTTGCTGACAGATGGCATCAATGTCTTTTTTATGGGTCCCATGAAATAAAAATCGCTCATCCGCAGCCTTTCCACCATTGCTCTTCTGCATTAGCTCCTTCTGCCTGCAATAAGAAGCAGTATCTTTGCAGTTCCACAGCGGCCATACCCACAGGTTCCAGCCATACTAGCACTCTGAAACAATTTTACAGAGTACATTCTGAAAATCCTTACATTAAGGCCTAAACTTAGAGCAAACATGGTATCTTGCTGTCTAGCTGCATACAAACATGCTTTCATTATACAGAAATACCTCCACATATTTAATATTAAAAATGTTTTCTTTTTGTTCACTGCCTGTGGGGAGGAGGAATCTTAGCAGTAGGTTTTTTCCAAAACACAGGAGTTCATGGAGTTAAGGCTTTCCCTCGTGAGTTTTGCATTTAATTTTGAAGACTATTTCAGTTTTGACCAGCTGCAAACCAGTGTTTGTGCTAGATGTGACTGATTAGCAGCTCCAAGGCTCCACTGGAAGGCAGTTGTTCTGGACACAGGTGTGGCAGAAGTCAGAACCACTTACTCAGGAGCAAGGATTCCTCCCACACAGCTCCTCTGACTATTCTAAGTTCTGTGCCTTGAGTGAGTTTTGGTTTTGTTGATATCTCTTTATCTAAATGTTGATATTGGCTAGGTATTTCAGTGGGAGAGTGGAAGCAGATGCATTTCAGAAATGTGTGTCTATCTTTAGCATACAGCATACAGCTAACTGCAGAAACAGCAAACTTCATGCATACATACCAGACCAGTATTTTACACATACCATTGATACAGTTCCCAGAGCGATGGGTTCTGAACTCTACAAATTCTTTTAATAGCTGTTTTGGGCATTGTACGTTGAAAGTCCACCTTGACTTTCTTGTATTCTTCAGAAGAACTGTCAAGCTCAATCAGCTGTAAAGAAAAGTTTGAAAAGTTACTCTCATCTTTTACTAAACCATGCCAAAGCCACCCTACCTAGTGCACTGCTTAGGCCTTTAAAGTCCTTTCTGTGAAGCAGAGGTATGAACAGTGGAAACTGTCTTGGAAAAAAAGCCGATTAAAGATCTCTGCTCTGTAAAAGTGAGCTCTTATCTAGGGAACGTTAACTCCTGGTGTTTATGACACCCAGGTTGCTCTCTCACAGGACATTAAAGGATCTGCATGCTTTTGTGCAGACACTCAGCTACTCTTAATATTTAGGTCAAGATACATATGTATGCATATATCAAACAGTACCTAAATCCACAGCAGAAATGAGCACATAAATAAAAAATCTATGTTGCAGCAAAACAAAGAGTATTTTTTTCAGATCTTTCTGTTTATACTCCCTACAGCCAGTTAACACAAACTGCACTGCCTGTTGTCTTTCTAAATAAATAGAAAAGGCTTTATTTGAACAAACATTTTTAGGGAAGAGTATGGTCACACTAACAAAAATCAGTTCCTTACATGACATTTGTGTTTTCCATAGGAACATAAAAAAAGTCAATGTTAGCCTTCCCTACTTTTAATTGACAATTTCTTGAGGATTTGCATTTTGCAAGTTAGCAATTTTCAAGCTTCAGATAAGATCTTTTCTGTAGGTATAGTTACTGGAGTTGACAGAGGAGGTGGTGGAAGCAGGTAAGAAAAGGCAAACCGTGCAGATATTATCTGGCTGTGTTACAAAGGTAAACAAGTTCATTCTACTGGAGTTATGATACATATTAATAAAAGATCCCATCTTGAACAGGCTGCCCAGAGCAGTTGTGGAGTCTCTCTGGAGATATTCAAAACCCACCTGGACACAATCCCATGTAATCTGCTCTAGGTGAACCTGCTTTAGCAGAGGAGGTGGACTTGATCTCCAGAGTCTCTCTCCTTCCAAGTCCAACCATTCTGTGATTCTGTGTGATTCTGTGAACTCTCCTGATTTCAGCAATTCTCCATAGATGTACAAAAGTCTACACAGCTCAGGGAATGGTTACCCTAAAGTTCAGACGCGTGATTTACTTCTGATGCTTCAGTGTATGTATTTTGGGCACCAGTAACACTCTTGTTAACACAGTAAAAACTTCATGCAGATTTGCCAAGGCAAGGGATCAACAGCAGCAGTGAAAGCCAATGTTACCACAGTTATACTGCCATCATTTGTTTAAATTTGAGTTTAGTGTCACCTCTAGGTCTGCCCAGTGTGATATCAGGCTCAAATTTACCAACACCTCTTCATTATACTACATAGTAAACAATAATTTACAAAGGCCAAGAAACACTGAACTTGTGATGTAACAAACCTTACACGACAAAACTGACAGAAAGAAAAAACCAAAAAGCTCCAAACCTTGAATCCCAGTTCAGGCAGGGCAGATTTGTCCCAGTGAGCTGGAATGCCCTTAAACTCCTCTGTATGTTTAATGCCCCTGTTGATTGTAAGATATTACAAATAGGCAGTTAATATAAAACAAAACACTACATTTTAGGTACATACGATCCTAAACACTTTTGTCAAGCTTAGGGAGAATACAGGCAACTGAACATATTCAGAAATATTTCAAAACTGTCATTTCAGTTCAGCACATGAAAATATTTGTTCCAAATCATCACGTCAAGACTTATGGCAGGAAGAAAGATGCCAAGCAAGGAAAAAAACCCACAGATATACACTGAACTAAACATGTAAGTATTTCTCTTAGTTGCAGAGTTGAATACATAAAAGCTCTGCTGCACTGGGGTAGATAAATACAAATGCATCCAGTATCACATCAGTATGACAGAAACAGCCCTCCCAGCTACTTCCAACCCAATTTTAATTAGTGGGTTTAGCTGCTCGTTTCAGTGGTGTTTAAGCAAGCACTGTGTGCTGCAAGGGAACTGGCTGTTACATGCAATTATATCTCCTTGCAGACTCCCACTTTTTGCTCCACCTGTAACAACTACTACTTTCCTCTCAGATTGTCTGGTTGCTCTCAAAAGAATTATTTGTAAACTTGTACTTAGCTTTGAAAATTACTCATCTCAGAAAGAGCTAATGTGCATAAATGTTATTGCTTCCATCTGTATTAGCTATTATAGCCAGCAGCTCCCTAAAACATTGCTACATGTTGAATTATTTCCCACGTTTCCACACTTTCTATGCCAAGCCCAAACTTTCTTCACCCCTGTAGTGGTTTCTGAGTTGCTTGAACTGTTGGCCAGGTTGCAATACTATCCTGGCAAGACATTGTTGTAGGAAAGGTATGTCCCTTTCCCTCTCAATGTCTTTCACAATTGCCTTAACAGCTACTTCTTCACCTTATTGACACCCATGGAAGACACTGCATTCACAATGCACTATATCCATCACTTCAGAATAAGCAGCTGCAGTTTACCTGGCTCTTGTGGTTTCTACCTCTGCCTGAGAGACAAATTTAGGTCTTCTGCAAATCTTTCTCTCTGTTGTGAAGCGAAGGTTTTTTTGAATCATGGCTGGGAAAACAAACAAACGAACAAACCCCCCTGAACAATTAGAACGATTTTTAGAAAGCTTTCACACTCCAGCAACATTTGTCACTAAGTTGTTTTGTCAAAAACATTGACAAAAAATGCACTGAGCATTTGTTTTTCTACTCTTGCTCTTAACTTTACAGGAAATGACAGATATCGGTGGCTATTTTCCCTTCATTTTTCCATCAGCCACACTTTACCAAAAAGGATCATTTTAAAATAAGTATTTACTTTTTCTCCTTCTCAATATGCAATCGAGATACTGGTTTCCTCCATTTAGTCATAGATTTCAAATCCTATAAACAGAACTTAAGATCTATCATAGGCCATACTAAGAATTAAGAGTCAGTAGCACCCAGGACAATGAGGCCTCATCTTCAGAGATACACGGGAAAACAAAAAAAAAAAACCCTCTTGGCACCAACAAGCCTAGAAATTAAGTTTTGCAAAAAAATATCTACACTGCATATAATTGCCTAAGTTACTAAAAAAGCCCAAACCTTAGAAAAGGGATTGATTTACTATTCAATTTTCCCTTCTAAGCCAGACAAGTTTCACCAGCATTGCAATTGACTGAATCACAAACAGGAAATCACATGTCCTTTCTGTTTTTCTGTGTTTTGTTGGGGTTTTAGGGGGTGGTTTGTTTGGTTACTTTGGTTTTGGTTTTTTTTTTTTGTTTGTTTGTTTTCGGGCAGAATGAGATAGTAATGGAGATTGGATCAAAGACAACTACACCAAAATGACAGTCTAGGCAGGCTGATTCCCACCACTGTTTTCCGTAATTTTGAAAAGGATATCAGGAAAGGCAACAGCTCAGAGAAGACAGTGCCATTACAAGTGGCTTAGGTTTCCTGAACTCTTGGGAAACACAGCTTTCTACTTTGACATAGTCGAGGTATTTCCTCAGCCTTTCTAGACAGGATGAAAATATCTGCATAAATCTTGTAATGCTAAGGATTGTATGGATCCTATATCTTGCCCAAGTATTTGTTTTTCTGCAAACCAGTGACTAAAGCAGACCAGAAGCTGGCTTGATCAAGTCTTCTAGAAGTTCCTCACCATTTGTGTTGGTGCCAGCATCAATGACAATGTCATACTTGGACCTTCTGGCAGACATTTTGAAACCTGGCACAAGAACTTCTCAAAAGTAACAGGTCTGAAGGAATAGGAATGCTACTTTGCCTATGTGGACAGCTCTTATCCTGAGAAATTTCACAGAAGCTCTGACTCTGTAAGTGTTCAAATTTCTCTCTTCTATCTCCTGTAATGAAGTAGTTTAAAACCACGAGAGACCTTGGAGGGAGGGCCAAAACAAAAGAACAGAAAAATGGAACCTACCTTCAAAATTTAATTCATATTCATGCCTTCCAGCTTTGAAGTTCAGCTTTGGAGAACCTTCAGCTATATAAGCTTTCTCCAGGTCATCACTGGAGACCGTAGCAGCTACATGAAGATCATCCTGTTAGGCCAAAAATAGAGAAGAAAAGTTTCTCCTGGTTATTATATGCAAGCAAGTTTAAAACCCAGCAACTCTGATATCTATGGTAGCTGCAGTATGTATCAGCTTTTGGGAATTATAGTAGCTATCAGACAAAAGCCAATGTATTAAACAGTTGCAGCTGCCCCTAAAACAAACTAAACACTGTTACAAAGCCTAAGCTTATACTGCAAAGGGCACGCTGTGAGCACTACTGCTCAGAGGGTGCTGTGGTTTAACCCCAGCCAGCAACTCAGTACCACGCAGCTGCTCACTCACTACCACCCCCCATACCCTGGTGGGATGAGGAGGAAAAGGGAAAAGTGGGTTGAGATAAGAACAGCTTAGTAATTGAAATACAGTAAAATATAATAATAGTAGTCATAATAATAAAAATAATTGTAATATTTTAAAGGAAAGAAAAAAGAGAGAGAAAGGAATAAAGCCCAAGACAGACAAGTGATGCACAATACAATTGCTCACCACCTGCTGACTGATGCCCAGCCTGTCCCTGAAGAGTGACTAGCCTCTCCCAGATAACTCCCCACAGTTTCTATACTGAGTGTGATGTTCTAATGGTATGGAATATCCCTTTGGCTTGTTTGGGTCAGCTGTACTGTGTTCCCTCCCAGCTTCTTGCACATCTTCTCACTGGCAGAGCATGGGAAACTGAGAAATCCTTGATTTAGAGTGAGCACTACTTAGCAACAACTAAAACATCAGTGTTTGATCAATGCTGTTGTCATACTAAATCCAAAATCCTTGTGCCAGGTACTAGGGAGTGAATTGACTCTATCCCAGCTGAAACCAGGACAGACACATTCACCAACTAGACCAACAAAGAGGCAGAGTACAAATCAGAGAAGGAAGTTTTAGTCAGGAGTGACAAAAAGAACATATTAATGCGATCCTATCCAACGTGACTCACTGAGTAATTATCTGTCGATAATACTTGTGACTCACCAGAGATCACTCCCCTATCTGAACCCATCAAATTCCCAGGGAAAAGATCCCATTAGGCCTTTAAAGTCCACCTATGCAGTATCAGTGAGAAGAAGAGGGTGACAAAAGAGGGGAAGGATATAAACACTGTGCACTTTTCAGTAGTTCTGCACTTTTAGCATAGAGTTGAGTCTCCCTATTTCTCCACACTTACTTTTTTTCCATACTCCTGCCACATGCCAAATTCATCTTTCCAGTACCAGATCCATTCTGTTGTTAGAATGAAGTGAGGGGGTTTGGTCACAGAGGAGGCTGTAGAAAGACGCCTAACCTTTGCAAACCCACAGCACATACTGAGAAAACAGATACATGCCATGACAGAGCCACTTTCAGTAACACCATTAGTAAATCTATAAAAAAAAGGGGAAAAAAAATCAGAACTGTTTGTGAAGCTTTATTCAGAGGTTCAGAAGCCCACCACAAATTTGCGAATTAAGCCATCACCAAAAAGCAGAACACAAACCTCCACTTTCCATAAAAATCCCAGCTCTGTCTTGTGTTGGTACATATTTTGCATTACAGTATTACATCTCACATTGGTTCCATGGGCAGTAACCATTACCCACTTGTAAATTAGTGAGTTACATCAGACTAATAGAAACAGTGGAAAACATGCACTGCCTTCTTGCTAACCAACCATATTCTGAACAGGACACTGTCATAACTTAAGTAGTGCTTCAAAGAGCCTCTAACATAACATAAGAGGGATGTGGGATGGGATGTGGCATATTGGTATGAACCCCTTTCAATACCCTCTTTGTAATACATAACCAGTTCCAAGCCCTTAAAGGTATTTTCATATTCCTAGTGTTCTCTGCATGCAAGAGTATCTCTCTCTCTCTCTCTCTCTCTCTCTCTCTCTCTCTCTCTCTCTCTCTCTCTCTCTCTCTCTCTCTCTCTCTCTCTCTCTCTCTCTGTCTCTCCAGGTACACAAGGTATTCTGCCAGTTCCACAATATGGACTGCAGGAAAAGGGGGAAGGAGGGGCAAATCCCATGTGAAGTGAGGTCAGTAGGAGAATACCAAATTAAGCTACTTATGTAATGACTCCAAACATTATTAAATCTTAAAAGAGTTTATACCTGGTCTTATTTGGGTCACAATACGCTTTTTCTATTTCTTCCATATTCTTCAAGTCCTTCCAGGTATTGCCATCAGAGATCTGCCATCTATATGGCAAGTGAAAATGAGTTCTGATACACTTTTCTGAAAAAGTTTTTTAAAAAAGAAGTATTATTTTTACAAGCTATGAGAAAACTCTGATATTTCAGGGCTGGATAACTAGTCAGTGAAACCATCAAAAGCATAGTCATGGAAAGTGTTTACTTATGGAATCATTATAAGCAGTAGTTCAAAATTTTTCAGCATAAGCAAACAACATTTAATTTCTGGGCTTAGGTAAAAGTTCAGTTTCTGTACCTACTAGGCTCTCTTTGCCCATTAAAATTGCACAGACCATTCTGTCTTCTCAGTTTCAGAGACAAAAATGAATCGAGATCGCAAGCTCATGCAGGGTTATTATTTCATATACAGAATAACACTATAGACTCAAACATCTATGCTTAACCACTTCTTCACAATACTTCACAAAGTGGTATTACTGAGGAAAAAACCAAAAAGGCAACAGTGTTTAGTTTTAGGGTAAGAGGAGAACTATGTGGTTTAATTCCAGATGGTAACAAAGTATGACATCCACTCACTCACTCCCACTTTCCCTGGTGGGATGGGGAGGAGAACAGGAAAAAGGTAAAACCCACGGGCTGAGATCAGAACATTTTAATAACTGAAATGAAGTAAAATATAACAACAACAACAACAAGTATACATATACATAAAAGGAGAATAACAAAAAGCGAGAGAGGAGTAAAGCCCAAGACAGCCAAGTGATGCACACTACAATTGCTCACCACCCACTGACTGATGCCCAGCCCATCCTTGAGCAGTGATCTGCCCCTCCCAGCCAACTCCCCACAGTTTATATGCTGAGCATGATGTTCTAATGGTATGGAATACCCCTTTGGCAAGTTCAAGCCAGCTGTCCTGGTCATGCTCCTTCCCCCGTTTCCTGTGCACCTCCTCGTTTGCAAAGCACGGGAAGCTGAAAAGTTCTTGACTTTGGGTAAACATTACTTAGCAACAACTAAAACATCAGTGTGTTATCAATATTATTCTCACATAGAGGTATAGAGGTATATACCTTAGAACTTAAAACTATGTAACAAAACCATGTAGCTTAACCTACATAGCTTATCACTAAAGGTCAGACAGTCTCAGTGGAAAGGAATTTCTTAAGAGACAGAAAGTATCTTTACTTTGAAGCAAAGCTGATAAAGCTGATGAACTAGACAAAACTGTCCTCATGGTTGTACAAAATTGTACAAAGTGCACAGCCACTGACGTCAAGGGCATGAAGATGTGCCAGAGTAAGAGTTCAAGAAAAGGACAACGTGAGGAAGACTATGGAACAAACAAGAACTACCACTCTGAAGGACCACCGACTCAAAATGGAAGGCATATCTAGCAGAGGAACAATTCTGGGAAAGGGGTGGGACAGTATTAGGTAATGCTTTCAATTATTAATTAGGTAACTAAATAAAAGCAAGAGGCTTTTATGCATCCAATGTCATAAATAAAGGACCGCTGCCTGCTGAAACTCACAAATTGAGTCTTAGGGGTTTTCTTTTACGGCCTGATTTATGGCATCACTCATACTAAATCCAAAACACAGCACTGTATTGGCTACTAGGAAGAAAATTAACTCTATCCCAGCTGAAACCAGGGGAGTATCCATCGCTTATTCCATACTATTTACATCATGCCTAGGTCCCACACTTTCCAATACAATCCAGTTAATCACTGTCACCTTTCCCATCTTCTGATATATATGCAGATATCACTCCCTTAGTCTCAAAGTTCATTGCCCTTCAAGAAGTCTCCAAGGGTCCAGGCCTTACCAGGAACAAGAGCAGTGGTAGCAGTGACTGAGGGACAGCAAGTGCTACATGGAGTTTAAAGAGTCAACATGTCAACTTGTCAACAGAAGCGAAGGTGACATCATCAGTACCAGTACCTATAAACCTGAGGCCAGTTTTCACAGCAGAAAAGGCAACTTAACTATAGGGAAAGTGAAGGAGGCTGCACCACGTAGGTCATATGAGAAAGTGTGCAGTCCTTCAGGGAGCTAAAGAACATCAAGAAGGAAAAGGAGGACAGAAGGACAACAAGAAAGCTGGCACAGCAGCCTTTTTTCTGGACAAGCTGGAACATTTTGACAGGGAGAGAGCTGAAAGAGAACAGAAGAGTACTAGAAGAAACAAGGGAGTATCTTTAGTATCTTTCCTATTTAGAAATGTGACTCCTATCATTCAGCAAGTACCTTAGGTAAACACAGGTGGAGTAGCCAATCTTCAGCACAGGTAGATATTATGCATTCCAGAGGAAAATAAAATGGCTCCTTTGTTTGGTATACCAGATAGATCAAACACTTGCCTACCAGCAGTCAAGACTGCAGTGAGATTTAAGTAAAGATAAGCATAAGCTCTAAAGTTTCCTGTTTCTGTGAAAGATGTCTATCACCTCTTTATGGGAAGAGGCAAATACACTGGGCTTGATACAGTCTATACGGATACTTGATACAACCTACCTTTAAAGCCACAACTTTTGTACAGATGATATAAACAGATCTGTTCTGACTCATCATCTTTTGTAGTTGCAGACTCTCGTCCAGAGCTGTGTTTTTTGTCTAGAGGGGAAAATCATAAAACTTATTAATATAATTTGTATTAAAGTGCTCCTATCAGTAGTGAAGATAGTGTTTGTAACTACATAACTGCATTCAGCTACAGAGAAACATTGTAGCCTTTGATAACCTTGTATACTCAAAAGTTCCATCACTGTATCCATTCTTTCTGAACGCAACTTTCCTGTAACTGCTAAAACAAGAATAGAATCCAGTGCCTTTACACTTCCAAATGGACTTGAGTTAACCGTGCATTCCACACAGCTGATAACACTGGCAGCTATAAAATATGAAGTTTCAAAATTTGATACATCTGTAAAATTAAGCACTGGAGGCAGAATAGTGGAGATGAACATACACACTTGGATTTTCCATTCTGTTACCCTCTTTTTTTCCTGCTAAATTTTACTTAACTTACAATTCTAAGGAACTTCAAAAGAAAAGAGCAAACAAAATGTTACATCTCTAAAAAGTAACTAGGATAGTGCTGTCTCTGAATTCTTATGCTAGACAATCACTACACCAACGAAAAAAATTGAATAGTTATAGTCAGACACAACAGTCCTATTCTTAAAGTTCTTAACCTTTATGTTTTTTACAAAAAAACCCCCAAACTATAGACCTCCCTATTTCCAGTTCCTGTTATGCTTTTTTAGCCCCAAATTTATGATTTTTATAAACACCAGCACTTTGTCAGGAACCCAAGTCTTGAAATTCACTTCACTTGTCAAGACACAAATTTCTGTCACTGAGATAGGTACAAGGTCCCTCCTAAAAGACAAATCAAAATGTGAATTCAGTTTTCTTAATGACACTTGTGAGAACTATAGTGACTCTTCTTCAGATGTTTTCAAAAGATGGTATCACTTACCTTTGCATGGTGAAGTCTTGGCCTCTTCTATGTCTTGCATGTTCCTGTTGCTGTTTTTGATGTCATACATGTTTCTATAGAGAGAAGGTAGTCTCTCAATATTGTCTAAGCTCATTCCCTGTTTCAGCAGTTTCTCAAGACATTCTGACTTCAATAAGTCATGGGATCGTTTGCAGGTGTTGCCAAATCTGCACTGTCCCCGCAAAAAGTACTGGCAAACGTGCAGTTTGGTGCAGGACGTTTTAAAGGTACAAGATCCGTAAGGTCCATCACCTTTGTTATAATGCAAGCAGACCTTGGGTAGAGAAAGAAAAAAGATTTTAAAGATTAAGGTACAGTGTGCTCATACAGACTGTTCGAATCTATGATGTCTACTATGAGTAGACATTTGCTTTTAAAAGATACATTTCTTCTTGTTTTCCAAATGATTGTTAGTTTTTCCTTTGCCCTGCTAATGTTTAGAAAGATCTTCCAACAGACAACATTCTTACAGACATTCTTAAGCAGATGGAATTTAGTGCTAAGTCACATAAATGTAGAATAGTGGATTTTATTGCGTCATGACCTTTTTATTTTCTAGTTTTGGAATACTGAACTTTTTTGATGGTACCTGTGTTTGATGGTAAAGGGATACTGGATCTGGCTGGGATGGACTTAACATTCTTCACAGCAGATCACACCACGCTATGTTCTGGGTTTGTGACCAAAGCAGTGTTGATAACACATTCCTTTGGTCTGTTTGGGTTAGCTGTCCTGGCTATCCTCCCTTTCAGTTTTTTCTGCACCTCCTCATCAGCAGAGCAAGGGAAACTGAAAAGTCCTTGACTGAAGGTAAGCAACAACTTGGCAACAACAACTTGGCAACAACCAAAACATCAGTGGGTTGTCAACCTTATTTCTGTATTAAATCCAGAACACTCTGTATCTGCTACTAGTAAGAAAATTAACTCTATCCCAGTTGAAACCAGGAAGAGTGAAACACCACACAGCTACTTGCTCGCTTCCCCAGGGAATGTGGGAGAGAATCAGAAAAAAGATAAAACTCATGGGGTTGAGATAAACACTGGACATAAATGGAAGGGGAAATAATAATAATAATAAAAGAATATACAAAACAAGTGATGCACAATGCAATTGCTCACCACTCCCTGACCAGACAGTCCTCAAGCAGTGTGACACCAGCCCCTGGCCAACTCCCCCCAGTTCTACTGTTCAGAATGATGTCATATAGTATGGAATATCCCTTTGGCCAGTTTGGGTCAGCTGTCCTTGCTATGTCCCTTCCCAGCTTCTTGTGTATTCCCAGTCTACGGGCTGGCAGGGCAGTATGAAAAGTTGAAAAGTCCTTGACTTAGTGCAATCACTGCTTAGCAACAACTAAAACATGACTGTGTTATCAATATTACTCTCATCCTAAATCTAAAACACAGCACTGTATCTATCCCAGCCAAAACTACGAAATAGTCCAAACTGGCCAAAGGAATATTCCATGCCATATAACGTCATGATCTTAAAAAAAATAAAAAATAAAAAAAAGGGAGAGGGGACAGGGGGAAAGAGGGGGAGAAGGGGGAAGGGGGAAGAGATGGGTCTTCCTTACATGGTGGCCCTTGCTCAGAGACTTGTTGGGCATCAGTCTGCTTAGGTGATGAAGCATAAGTGTTCCTTTGATACATTTACTTTCTCCCCTCCTTCCTCCACTTGCTAAACTGTCTTTATCTCCATCCACAAGTTTTGTCACTTCTGTTCTACTTGTTATCTCTCATCTGTTCTGCTTGTGACAGGGGACTGAGGAGTAAGTGGGGGACTGTTCGAGTGCTTAGCTGCCAGCCAGGCTTAACCCACCAACCACAGGTGAGAACAGAGGATGCATATATAAAGTTTTAGATTTGCATTAAGCTGACACCTAACATCTCCATCTCTATCAAGACTTTTCCACTTGGTGATGCTCACTGAAACACAAGGCTCAGAAACTGTCACAGTAATACTCACCTCTGGTAAGAGGGAAGGGTCATTTTGGAGCAGAAGCTGGCAAAGTTCATCACTGTCTAAAATCTCAAGCCCATGGCGTCTTAGAACACGGAGATTGTGGTCCGAGAAGAAGTTGTGAGCAAACCTGCATTCCTTCCTACAAGTTAAGAAACCCAACTGCAAAATGAGTGTAACAGACTAGCACTGTTTTGCTATCTCATGGGCATGACACTAAACAGTTTCAAAACTACACCTTTCAAAACCACAGCTTCAGAAAAATCCGTACTGCTCCTTTATAAAACAATTATGTGATTTGCAAAACAGATTACACAATTACTCTGAGGATAACTGCCACGCTACTTCTGATTTACAGTCACAACAGCGTCTGACAATACTGGCGTTTTTGACCTGCAGCTCACAACCACGGAAACACCAAGACACCGGAGTAACGCTGCCTTCCCACTCCACGAGCACATTCCCCAACATCCCGCAGCACAGGCTGCGTGGGGGATGAGCCGGCAGGGACCCTGCGGGAGGGAGCGGCGGTGAGCCGGGCAGCAAGGGCTGCGAGACCCGCAGCCTGTGAAACCACCGCCCGTGTCTGCCTTTTTAGAAACAGGAAGGAAAAAAAAAACAAACCAACCACACACACATACAAAAACCCCCAACCAGCCCCCCCTCCCCCAAAAAACAAAACCCAAAACAAAACAAACCCCCCCCAACAACAACAACAACAACAAACAAACAAAAAACCCAGGAGGGGGAGAAAGGAGCATTTCAGACACGAAAAGGGCCGCACGGCCTTTACCGAGGCCTCCTTCCACTGCAGGGGCACACCGTGCCCAACGCCGAACCCCCCCGACCTCCCCCGACCCCCCCGGCGAAGGAAGCCGCGCCCCCCCCTCACCTCGCCCCGTGGTTGCGGCAGTGCCCCTTCAGGTGGTACTTGCAGAGGTGCAGCTGCCCGCAGTGCCCCGGGCAGCCCGCGCTGTACTGCTGGCACAGCCGCACGGGGCTGGTGGCCACCACCACGGCCACCTCCGCGGCCGCCGCCGCGCCCTCCTCGCCGGGCCGCTGCACCAGCGTGAAGCGCTGCGCGTCCCGCAGCACGGCCGCCAGCTGCTCCGCCGAGGGCCGGCCCGGCAGCCAGCGCTGCAGGTCGGCCTGCTCCAGGCAGCCGCCGCTGCCGCACAGCACCCGCAGCGCCTGGGCCGCCAGCGCCATGGCCCCGGAGAGCTGCCTTCCCCGGCTTCCAGAGCAGCTCCGCCCCGGGAGAAGCAACGGAAACGGAAACGAAAGCGAAACCGCCGGCGATGGAACGGGCGCCACCCGAAAGGCTTTGCTCCCTCCGCAGCGGGTCCCGGGGGTGTGGTTTGTTTTGGGTCTCTTCGAACTGACTGCGGAGAGTGCGACGCGTGCAGCATACTGTGGGAGGGCCCTTCGGCTCCCTCCCCTGCCTGGCTTTTAGGATGTATTGACGGTTTTTAGTCAAAGTTCACCAAAACGGGATGAGCTGCAAAGTTGTACAGTTCCCACAGGAGAAACTGGCACAGGGAAGAAGAGAGACCACAGCCAAGTCTTCTTCACCACCTTCAGTTACAGGAAGAAGGCTGATGTGTGAATTCAGCCGTTGTGAGGCACCAGAAAAACATCTCAGTTAAGGCTCCCGACCTGTGCCAGTTTTCTGATGACGCATCACGAAAGCCACTCTCACACTCCTTTCCTTTCACTATCTAAATTAAAAGCTCAGTCATGGTTGTGCGTCTGCTGGACATGCAACTGCCCTGTTCCCAATGCTCACAGAACCATGGTGTCCCTGCATCTGCTTGGACTGCCACTGCACGGCACCAAAATGTGGCCAAGCCATATCCTCACCCTCTAGGAACTTGTAAACTCTTTGGAAGGGTGACTATTTTTTAATTAAGTACTTTTGTCTGGGTCATTTTGACACTCCTGGTGCTGCATCACAGTCACTCAGAAGCATGTTTTAAATGATGGCAAGACGATGTAAAATGCCATCATTTAAATCAGACTGGCAGCAGTAGGCATGGGGACTCTCTTTGATGGTGATTCTCATTGAACAAAAGTCCTGCCTGCTTCCTTCTTTTGCCAGTCATGTTCTGTTGCCCCTTTCCCCTTGTCTCGTTTTACTTCCTGCTTGTCCCGTGAGATCAGGAGGGGAATGACAAAATGAGAAGCTAGACAAATACGTTGAACAGAAGAACAGCTCTGCTAGGTCACTTACAGGTTCATATAGATCTGTAGCCTGCCTCCAACAGGTCATCAACAGATGTCTAGGAGGGCACGTGAGGGGCTGTAGCGTTACTGTCCTTCATCTCTGCTTTCCAGGGTCCACTGATTAGCTTTCCTGAAACAAAGGAAAAGCACTATTCACTTTCTTGTTCAATTTCTGATTTTATATCTACTGATGATATCCCTCTTTGTTGTCTCTTTTCTAAACTGAAACATTTTGGTCTATTTTAGTCATTTGTTCTATGGAAGTAGCTCCCTAGCTTGGACTGTCTTTGTCCTCTTTTGTTCCTTACGACAGTCTTTCCTTGAGGGGCAGACCTACCGATGGTAGCAAGGCACTTCTAAGTGAGAGATCACACACCAGCGATAGTAACTGACAATATCACAGAACACTTGAGGTTGAAAGGGACCATAGGAGGTCATCTGGTCCAACCCCAAATTCAGCTATTTCATCCCTGAAAGAGCATATGGGTGGAAGCCTCCTAATTTTGGTGTTTTGTCTAATGTTTTCAAATTAGTGGATAACTGTGTACTGCCCCATCAGTAGGATATCTCTTGACTGAACCAGAACTCAGGGAACCCTTCAGTGTAAAAAAACATTGAAGCAACATTGTACTTAGACAACTCCTGTTCTTCCCAGTATGTATCCATTTACTTTTTCCGTCCAGTGCCCCAAATCCATCCTATCTAATCCATGCCCAACCTTTTACATCTTAAAGACCTGTCCCAGCATCACTGTGCTGTCTAGGTAACTGTTTTAGCTGTATCTTTCTTTCACTCTTTCTTTCCTCATGCATCTGAAAAAGCCTACTTTTTTGGCAGAAATATGGCATTTTTTATCATATAATTTGTATTAATGACTACACTAATGTCAACATTATATAGAGACAAGTACAAAGAAGGAAGAGCAGTACAAGATCAGGGTTGTGGAGCTATTTGCAGTTGGCTTTATACCACTGCAATTCATTCCAATGTGTTGGTGTGCATGTCACTGGGAAGTCACATTGCTGTTCCTACTTCGCAGTTTTTTGAGGCTCTTGAGCAGGGCTATCATTCTATCTCTTCTCATGACAAAGAACTAAAACTAGTAAAACAGGCAATGATTGATGTGGAGAGAAGATTTGGAGAGTTTGAGTTACAGCACCTTCCCATCCCTGAATTCATACCCAGAGTAAATCATAGCTTATTCTTTCTCACACAAGTTTCTTGTAGTTTGTTTTGTGGCATGTTCCTCAGGAAGAAAAAAGTACCCCTTTGATTTAATAGAACTTCCCCACCTGTGAATTATATATAGGCAAAATTGTGCTTTCTTCAGAAGAAGAAGAATTTTCTGCTAATGGAAAAGTCAATTTACATTTGTAAAATTAAATACTTCCTATGTAAGAAAGACTTATATTACATGTCAAGGGCACCTAAAGCAAGTGGCTCCTCTCCATCACTCAAATACTGTAATTAAAGGTAAGGCTGGAACTGTTTTCTTAAATGCCATTGCAGCATAATTGCATATGAGCTATTCTACCTACAGTTTATGACTGCTCTGTGCATTGGCCCTGAAATAAGCTCCCTCTAAGCAGTTGCTATGGTTTCTGAACAGCTGCTGAACTCAGAGCACATGGGTTTTTAATAATTGTGAGACTTCAGGTACTGCAGTTTCAGTGAGCCACATTTGTTAACGTCTGATGTGTTGTTCTTTGAAAACTTTACTCTAGAAATTTTCAGATGTCAGTCATTAGACTAATATCTTTATTTTTAGGAACAGTTTATGGATACTGGTGTTAATTTGAACTATGACATCATTTCTTAATCTTACATGCATCAACCTTCAGAATGTAGTAATTTAATGATTTTCCTGTTAATTTTTGTATGCATCCTTAAAACATCCATTGCTGTTATAGTGCATGATGCCTTCCACTTCCCACCTCATCCATGTGTTTCAGTCTTATGTGTTCAGTCTTCTTTATATTTATATTTAGATTTATCTAGATTATACAGATTATATATCGATTATTATATAGATTTATATTGTCTATTCTGGAAGATGATGCAAGGAAAATGGGCAGAACAGGACAAAATTTAGACACAGTTGTGACCTGGAGTGTTCTCTGGTGAAACATCACCTTCTGGTTTATACAGCTGCTTTTTTGACTCTCAGGAGTTCAGAAGCTTAGAAGTGTGATATGTTTGCTTGCAGGTGTTTTTGGTTGCCTCTCAGCCTACATTTAAACCCACATTTGAGGGCTAATCCTTGTCCCAGTGATGGTCTGACAGCGTGGTGAAACACTTTACTAAACCTTACATAATTTATCTGCAACTGGTTGGTTTATAATGGCTTGTATTTGCTATATATTATTTTTGTGTGCTACTCTAATTTCTTCACTTACGACTAGTATTTCTGAAATCTGTACTCATTGACAGTATATCGAGCTTACAGCTGCATTCCCGAGAGTTTCCCAGTGACACACTAACCTGAAAATCAACCATCCAACAGCTAACACAAGCACCCACAACTCAAAAGCAAGAAACAGGAAACTCAGGTCTGGTGCAGTATGTGAGTAGCACCAGACTGTGGGGCTGTTGGCTGTCCCAGGGATCTTGCAGCCTCTGCAAAGAGCAAGATAAAGCCTCATTTTTTGCTCTTGCCTCAGGACACAAATATAAACATATATTTTCACACGCAAACAGTCTGGACAGGACCTAGGACAAAGTGTCTATTTTATAAGAATAAGCCAGCCTAATGTAACATGCAAGAATTTGTATTGTGCACATTTTCTTTCATTCCACAAGTATGTTTCAAGAGGTCTTGCTTGTGAAAATAAAAATAATTTGGGCTGAAATTTTGGTATAGTTAGCGATTTGTCCTTGGCACACTTCTAATCTTATTCTGTTGAAGATTTTATTACCTAGTGCAGTTTATTTTGTAAGCCATAGGCTTTTGTTCTCAGTTACATAGCCTCAAAAAGGTATTGTATTCATACAGGCCCGTCATCTTCCACACTGGCTTCCTCTATCTTTCAGAAACCTACCAAGAACCTCTTTTCTCCACTCTTCATTCCTCCACAGATCACATGTCTCCTTGACTTTATTCTTGTAAGGACTGAGTTGGGAAATCTTGTCTCCAAGGATTCACCCTAAAATTATGGGGATTAATGTAAGAGGAAATGTTTCCATTACTTTTGAGACCACAGGTCTCGTTCCTTGTGGCTGTTTCCCTAGTTCAGTATTTCAAGAGGCTCACCTCTTGCTGGGAAGACAATGCACAGCCCTGTTAGATCACATGTAGACATAGCCCTAAAACTTGAATATTTGCTGGCACTAAGCCTATGAAGCCCATCTCTCTTCCAGAACTTCTTAACAGAGTTCATAACTCCTTTAATACTGTGACGATCTGCAAATGAGCGGTAAGTGAACCATATTCTAGCAGTGGTGTTTTGATTCACCCATGGAGAAGCTGTGTGAGTGGTAGCATATATGCTGACTACAGTTATACAGAATGCCCTTAACAAGAGGCTTTGTGTGCTTTTGTCCAAATGTCTTGCCACAACCATTTTTATACCTGTGAAAATATCTTAGTCCCCAAAGCAATTCCTATAAAGGACAGGGAAGGTGTCATGATTATGATAAGGGGAAAACACCAAATTCATTGATTTCAGCTAATTTTTTGTGTTCCCAGTTCTCTTCATTTAGAACAGAAATTCAAGGTGAAATGTGTGCAAGGAGGAGGGGGAAGCATAGGAACTAAACAAAACCAAAAAAAGTATATTGAAAAACACAAATAGAGAGGGCCAAAGTCTAGAAGCCTATTGTTGTTTTAGAACAGTTTTGCCTGCATTTGCCACCACATTATCCATTGTCTGTATTATCCACTGTTTTAACATACTGAATCTGAATGTGCCTGTTAATTCTTCCTTTAAGCATTTCACTTTCTGATGAGAGTGACCTGTTGACAGCTAGTTATTTTCTTTAAGGTAGGAGTTGCCACCAAACCACTTTTCTTTGTTATTACAGTGATTTGCTTAGGATATGTGCATTTAAATTAGCGGTTC